CTCAGTTAAGTTTGTTTGTAAGAGCATGCTTTTTATTTCCGTTTGATTTGCATTGTTCTGCGTTGTTTTGCATGATCACAGACCAAATGGATCATCTCTGGGAAACGCACGGCCGTCGATTAAGCGAGGCTGGCCTGCGCAGAGGATCAGGTAGGTGCTTTCTCTCTTTTCTTCCTTTTCAGTTCTTTTATGTTTCCCGTTTTCTTTTGTTATAGCAGATGCAAAAGTAATCGCCCAAGTTTTTAAAGATTTAAATGATACGGTATTATGCTGCTGCATTCTTTGAACTACTTTCGAATCGTACTTATTGTTGGTAAATTTTTTTCAAGTTTCAAGAGAGATTTAAATTATTTGAAAAAAGATCATTGCTATTTAATCAACATTGATGTGGTAACTGACTTTTTGTTAAATAATGTTTGAAAACACCATTCAACTATGAAGATTCGAGGAACGTAGCAGAATTAATATGTACTGGAATTTTAATCCTTAATTATTCCTTATAAATTCCTATTTTTTTATTTTTATATCACTATAGACATGTAACTCTCTACATTTGATTATTAACTTTTATTTACAAAACAAAGTATTGTACGTTTCGATTATGATATTAATACGAAGAATACGAGAAAAAAAATTATCGATTGCATTGCAGAAAAAAATGCAATGAAGTCCCTAGCACCAATTGCAGTAGGATTTCTGTTATCTGGCGTTCGTCCAGAAACCGTGATTTTCACAGTACTTTTAATCAACACACCTGTGACTTCAGATTCTTTTCAAATCTATTATCCACAATAGGTGATTACCCTGGCATCTCTCTATGATAACAATTACAACGGTATCTTTTCTATAAATTTGTTTCGTGATATTTATTTCGTCTCTTGTAGTTCGTAGCTTTTGCCGCACGTATGCCTGTCATGTTGCCTGATTAATTGGAAAACTTAACAAACCAAGTAGTCAGTATCGACATACGCCTTTAGAGAAAGAATATTTTCGTTAACAGGAATTTTTGCTAACGTTGTCGAGCACTTATCTATTAAAATGTAGCAGTTTACTTTTTCTTCCAGAATAGTATCTTTCTTCCTGAAGAAGAAGAAAAAAAAAAAAAAAA